ATACATTATGTTTGATAACAACTTCCAATCACTGTCCTTGGTAGTGCTTATGGTAAAATACATTATGTTTGATAACAACTTCCAATCACTGTCCTTGGTAGTGCTTATGGTAAAATACATTATGTTTGATAACAACTTCCAATCACTGTCCTGATAGTAAAATACATTATGTTTGATAACAACTTCCAATCACTGTTTTTGGTAGGATCGAGTGTTTGAAAAAATTCTTCTTCTTAGGAAAAACTGTACAAGTTGAAAACGCTTTTCTTGGCAAGACTTCAGTCAATATAAACGTTTTTGATAATACATTTATCTTCTGAGCGTTTCGCTTTATTTCGCTATCAGAAACTTTCCTGAGCGAAACATATCATTGAACAACTATATAGTATTTTTATATAGTTCTTTATCAGTGTCCTTTAATTTTTCCGACGAAGCACTGGAAGCCTCAAGGGTTAATATGATATTTTTATGAAAAGAATGTTATCTTAAAAGGTTGATACAAGTCACGCCACGCGCTTATCTGACTTAGTTGAAGGCTCCTCACTAGTACACTGGTTTGTTGTATTTAGGTTTAATGAAAATTCTTGAGCTAGATTTTGTTAACTGATATATGTATAAAAGTGATCACATACTTATAGTGTAACTCTGATCAAGTAGTTGTTATGTAAATGTGGTCAAATAGTTGATATCCTATTAAACTGGATATGAGTTTCTAGTGATGGACAGAGAAGCAGGGAACATTTCTTGAGTTCCGAACTTGGACACGAGTGTCGTCTATGGTTAGGCTTGTTTTAAACTATAAAGCAATAAAATAAACGTCGTGTAGTGTTTTCTAAATTCTTCTTCTATAATCAGTTGCATACCTACTTTCCAAACCTTTCATCTTAAAATTCCACTAACAACAAAAACGACTTATTATCGCCATCCGAAATGGTGTATCCGTAAATTGACGTAATGTATCTAAAGCACAGAGGGCGTTTCAGAAGTTCCATATTTTATAATTATATATTTGATCCAGACATCCAAGCACCTGTTGTTCCTAAAAAACGAACGCTCTTAATTTTTATAACTTGTCAGCGGGTACTGTAACTGGAAACACCCTTAACATAACCACAGTAATAAAATAGAATAATGTACTATTTCAAACAAATATTTATGACCAACTTCTCCCCCTCCCCTCAAAAAATCTTAATAAACCCAGTATAATTATATACATGGAGACTAGCAACTGGTTTGTAGTAAAACATAAGTTAAAACTCTCCAAATCGATTAGAGGAAAGACACTGGAAGAAGTTTCTATGTAAAATATTAACCATTAACCTTTTCCTCACCAAAATAGAACATTTCAGACCAATTACGCTGATGTAATAATTTGACAAGTTCTGCTTTATAGTTGGCTAGTCTTCTTGAAAATAGCTTTAAATATTACTTTTTGTGCGACGGTGAATATTAATGGCCTATGCCTGAGGCCCTTGACAACGTTAAGTGATTGGCGTTTCAAAGTTCTTGGGTGCAGCTGTCAATTTACCTACTGTTACTACTTCTGTATTACCTATTATCGATGTGAGAAGGACACTATTAAAAACTTTATAACCAACTCGCTGGCGGTCGATTCAATGTCGTATAGAAATCTCAGTTTGCTCCGTATCGGGGATACAATAACAATGGTGTTAAGTCGACATAAATCTTCTCCTGACGTCGTCATCTCGCCCGTTTGTTCACTGGATTATTGGAACCTCTGAAGTAGATACTCATCCTAACGCTTGTCACTTGGATTTGTAAACGTGGATATTTTCTGAATTCTGTTTTGTCAAATACAGACTTGCGGCGTCAGAGAACTTTAGCCACTTTCTCTATGAAATTATAAGCAGAACTAGCACTCATATCCCCCAGATTTTATACCACTAGATTTTGCGGGTACCCCTCATATCCCCACCAGACCTCTTAACACAACATCAATAGTCAACCAATAGTTACACTAGATATTATGGTAGCCCTCATATTCTCACCCAGACCTTATAACACAGCATCAGTAGTCAACCAGTAGTTACACTAGATATTATTGTAGCACTCATATCCCCACCAGACCTCTTAACACAACATCAATAGTCAACCAATAGTCACACTAGATATTATGGTAGCCCTCATATTCTCACCCAGACCTTATACCACAGCATCAGTAGTCAACCAATAGTTACACTAGATATTATTGTAGCACTCATATCCCCACCAGACCTCTTAACACAACATCAATAGTCAACCAATAGTTACACTATATATTATGGTAGCCCTCATATTCTCACCCAAACCTTATAAAACAGCATCAGTAGTCAACCAATAGTTACACTAGATATTATGGTAGCTCTCATTTCTCCATTCAGACCTTATACCACAGCATAAGTAGTCAATCAATAGCTATACCGGATATTGTGGTTCAGGTTTAAGAGGGGTCAACCTGGAGCTAATTTGAAATTCCTAGAAATATTTGTTGTTTATTTCAGATGTTTAAGACTGGTGAAACAGAAAAGTAAAAACGTGTGATATTAGAAATAAATCTACTTAATACGTAAATAAATTAAATATTTTTCGTTTGACGAAATACTAATTCAAAACTAATAAAAAAGGAATAACGGATTCATTGATGGAGAACTGTGCTTGAAAACGTTTCAAAAGGAATAGAGAATTTAAAGATGGAGAACTGTGTTTGGAATGTAAACGTTTCAAAAGGAATAGAGAATTTAAAGATGGAGAACTGTGTTTGGAATATAAACGTTTCAAAAGGAATAAGGAGTTTAAAGATGGAGAACTGTGTTTGGAAACTTTCCAAAAGGAATAATAAGTTTAAAGATGGAGAACTGTGTTTGGAAACTTTCCAAAAGGAATAAGGAG